CCCCTGCGGCACCTCCCCCCTAGGTATTAGTCTGCCTCCAAGAGATCCAAAGCATAGCTCAGGTTGTTAATGTGAATATAAGATAAAAGTTTTTTCTTTTCTTTTGTTCTATGTCTTTAGATCTTGGCTTTGTGACCTCTCTGGTCATGAGGGGTCCAAGTCCATTGGGGGCCTTTGTCATCTCAACCTTTGTTGTTTGTTAGTGCAATACTGCCTGTGCAGGAAAAGCCTTTGCTTTCTTGGACTACTTTTGGGAGTGAACTTTCTGGATCTTGTGAGGGCTTCCTCCTTTGCACTCTCTTTTGTGGATGCTGACAGGGATCATTGTGGGCTCAGAATTCACAGCTCCTGCCCCACCCCCCCAGTGGTGGCAGCTGGAATATGTGACCAGATACAATCACTATGCGACGGCAAAAATCCACTCAGACAAGAACTATGATGAAATATAGCATTAGTCCAGACCAGAAGGAAAAGGACAAACACCCAGAAGTCAATCCTGAAGGCACAGAAATCTACAACCTAAATGACAGAGAATTCCAAATAGCTATCATAAAAAAAGTCAACGAGTTACAGGATAACTCAGAAATACAGTTCAATAAAATCAGGAATGAAATTAATGAGCAGAGGGAATTCTTCATAAAACAGATGGAAACACTAAAGAAAACCAATCAGAAATGTTAGAGATGAAAAACACAATGGATGAGATAAAGAAAAATCTGGAGTTCTTTAGTAACAGAGCTTATATTAAGGAGGATATGATTAGCAATGTAGAGGATAGGAATATAGAAATGTTTCAGATTGAGGAGGACAGAGAACTAAGACTAAAAAATAAAGAAATTCTCAAGAAAAATCCAACTTAATTAGGAAATGCAACATAAGGATTACTGGTATTCCAGAGGGAGAGAGGAGCAGAGAGCTTGTTCAAAGAAATAATAGCAGAGAACTCCCCAAACCTGGATAAGGAGCTGGAATTACATGTAAATGAAGCCAATAGAACTCCTAATTACATCAATGTAAAAAGACTTTCTCCAGGCATATATTAGTAAAACCAGGAAAAGTCAATGACAAAGTATTAAAGATTTTATTTTTTTCCTTTTTATCCCCAAAGCCCCCCCAGTACATAGTTGTATATTCTTCGTTGTGGGTCCTTCTAGTTGTGGCATGTGGGACACTGCCTCAGCGTGGTTTGATGAGCAGTGCGATGTCCGCGCCCAGGATTCAAACCACTGAAACACTGGGCTGCCTGCAGCAGAGCGTGTGAACTTAACCACTCAGCCACGGGGCCAGCCCCAAGCAAAGAAAATATTAAGGACAGCAAGGCAGAAGAAAATAACCTATAAAGGACCCCTGTGAGACTTTCAGCAGATTTCTCAGCAGTAACCTTACATGATCATGAAGGCCCACATACTTGGGGAAAAAAAAAAAAAATGAAGAGAGGGGTTACAAAGCCTTGAGAAGGGAGATAAACAAGTAGACAAGATCAGAAAATTGCAACTCTCAATCAAAACAGATTAGCAAACTTAATTATAACATTAAAGATGAAGGGAAGGAAGATATATAATCATTTAACCACACCACTCACAATACAAAATGGAATAAGTTGTCACAACAACAACTTAGAAGGGGAAGAAGTAGAGGATGGAACCTGCTTAGAGTAAGGGAATAAGAGGCTATCAGAAAATGGACCATCTCACTTATGAGATCTTTTATACATACCTCACAGAAACAACTAAACAAAAAATCAGAACAGAGACACAAATGATAAATAATGAGAAAACTATCATAGAGAGCCACCAAACTGCATTGGCAGTCCAAAATACACAAGACAAGAAACAAGGGAAATACAGAACAACTGGAAAACATGTGATAAAATGGTAGTATTAAGCTCTCATATATCAATAATCACTCCAGATATAAATGGGTTGAATTCCCCAATCAAAATATGCAGAGTAGTGGTATGGATTAAAAAACAATATTCAACAATATACTGCCTCCAGGAAGCATTATCTCAGCTTTAAAGACAAACACAGGCTAAAAGTGAAGGTGTCCAAGCTAATGGCAAAGAGAAGAAAGCAGGTGTTGCCATGCTTATATCAGACAAAGTAGACTTCAAGATAAGGAAGACAATGAGAGACAAAGAAGGGGGGTATATAATGATGAGGGACACTCCACAAAGAGGATATAACACTTATAAATAAATATCCACCTAACATAGGAGCACCAAAATACCTAAAACAACTCTTAATTGACCTAAAAGGAGACATTAACAACGACAATAATAGTAGGGGGCCTTAACACCCTGCTTTCATCAATGGATACATGAGGCAGACAGAAAGTCAACAAGGAAATAGTGGAACTAAATGAAAAACTAGACCAGATGGACTTAATAGATACATAAGGAAAACTCCATGCAAAATCAGCAGAATACACATTCTTTTCAAGTGCTCCTGGAAAATTCTCATAGATAGACCATATGTTGGGAAACAAGGCAAGCCTTAATAAATTTAGGAAGATTTAAATAATATCAACAATCTTTTCTGACCGTAATGTTGTGAAACTAGACATGAACTACAAGATCAAAGGGGGAAAGTGACAAACGTGGAGAGTAAACAACATGCTACTGAACAACCAATAGATCATTGAAGAAATTAAAGGAGAAATAAAAGAATATCTAGAGATAATTAAAAGAATACACTATAGCACCTCATATGGGATGCAGCAAAAGTAGTCCTAAGAGGGAAATTCATAGCAATACAGACCACCTTAACAAGAAAAATCTCAGATAAGCAGTCTTAAACTACACCTAGCAGAATTAGAAAAAGACAAAGCCTATGGTCAGCAGGAGGCAAATAAAAAAAATTAGATCAGAAATAAATGAAATAGAAACCAGAAAAACAATAGAAAGTATCAATGACGCTAAGAGCTGCTTCTTTGAGAAGATAAACAAAGTTGACAAACCATTAGCCAGGCTCACTGACAACAAAAGAGAGAAGGCTCAAATAAATAAAACTAGAAAGAAGAGAAATTGCAACAGATTCCCCAGAAATACAAAGGATTTTAAGAGAATACTATGAAAAACTATATGCCAACAAATTGGAAAATCTAGAAGAAATGGGTGAATTCTTAGACTCATACAACCTCTCAAAACTGAACTGAAAGAAACAGAGAATCTGAATAGAACAATCATAAGTAAATACATTAAAATAGTAATCAAACCCTCCCCAAAAATAAAAGCCCAGGATAAGATGGATTCTCTGGAGAATTCTACCAAACATTCAGAGAAAATTGAGTACCTGTCCTCAAACTATTACAATAAATTGAAGAAGATAGAACGCTTCCCTACACGTTTTACAAGGGTAACATCACCCTGATGTCAAAGCCAGACAAGGATAACAGAAAGAAGGAAAATTACAGGCCAATATCACTGATGAACACTGATGTGGAAATTCTCAGCAAAATATTGGCAAACTGAATGTAGCAATACATCAAAAAGATCACACACCATGATCAAGTAGGATTATACCAGGGACCCAGGGAGTGTTGAACATCTGCAAATCAATCACCGTGATACACCGCATTAACAAAATGAGAAATAAAAACCACGTGATCATCTCAGTGGATACTGAGAAAGCGTTTGAGAAGGTCCAACATCCATTTATGATAAAAAAAAAAAATCTCAATAAAATGAGTATAGAAGAAAAGTACCTTAGTATAACAAAGGCCATATGTCACAAGCCCACAACCAACACCATCTCAACAGGGAAAAACTGAAAGCCACCCTCCGAGAACAGGAACAAGACAAGGATGCCCACTCTTGCTGTTCTTATTCACCTTAGTACTGGGGGCTTTGGCCAGAGCTAATATTAGGCAACAAAAAAAAAAAAGAAAAAAGGTATCCAAATTGGTAAGAAAGAAGTGAAACTCCTGCTGTTTTCAGATGACATGATTTTCTATTTAGAAAACCCTAAAGAACCCATCAGAAAAGTATTAGAAATAATCAACTACAGTGAAGTTGCAGGGTACAAAATCAACTTAGAAAAATCAGTTGCATTTCTATGTTCTGATAAGGAACTAAGAGGAAGAGAACTCAAGAAAACAATCCCATTTACAAATGCAACAAAAAGAATAAAATATCCAGGAATAAATTTAACCAAGGAGGTGAAACACCTATATAATGAAAACTATAAGACACTATTGAAAGACATTGATGATGACATAAAGAAATGGGAGGACATTCCGTGCACATGGATTGGATGAATAAACATAGTTAAAATACTACCTAAAGCAATCTACAGATTCAATGCAATCCCAATCAGAATCCCAGTGACATTCTTCATGGAAATACAACAAAGAATCCTAAAATACATGTGGGGCAACAAAAGACCTCGAAAAGCTAAAGCAATCCTCAGAAAAAAAGAAAAAAGCTAGAGGTATCACAATCCATGACTTCAAAATATATTGCAAAGCTGTAGTAATCAAAGCAGCATGGTACTGATACAAAAATAGACACAGAGATCATTGGCACAGAATTGAAAGCCCAGAAATAAAATCACACATCTATGGACAGCCAATCTTCGACAAAGGAGCTAAGAACATACATTAGAGAAAGGAAAGTGTCTTCAATAAATGGTGTTGGGAAAACTGCACAGCCGCATGCAACAGAATGGAAGTAGACCGTTATCTTTCCTCATACACAAAAATTAACTCAAAATGGATTAAAGACTTGAAGGTAAGATGTGAAACCATAAAAGTCCTAGAAGAAAATATAGGGAGTACATTGGTCTTAGAAAGATATTTTCAAATACCTTGTCTACTTGGGCAAGGGAAACAAAAGAAAAATAAAGAAGTGAGACTCTGTCAGACTGAAGAGTTTCTGCCAGGCAAAGGAAACCAGGAACAAAACGAAAAGACACCCTACCAACTGGGAGAAGATATTTGCAAATCCTATATCTGGCAAGGGTTAATCTCCAACATATATAAAGAACTCACACAACTTAACAAAAAGCAAACAAGCCGATCAAAAAATGGGCAGAAGATATGAACAGTCATTTTTCCAAAGGAGATATACAGATGGTCAATAGGCGCATGAGAAGATTTTCAACAGCACCAATCATCAGTGAAATGCAAATCAAAACTACATTGAGATCTCACCTTACGCTCTTTAGAATCGCTGTAATCATTAAGACAAAAAATACCAAATGTTGGAGAGGGTATGGAGAAAAGAGAACCGTCATCCGTTGCTGGTGGGAATGCAAACTGGTGCAGCCAGTATGGAAAACATTATGGAGATTTCTCAAAAAATTAAAAATCAAAATACCATATGATCCAGTTCTTCCACTACTGGGCCTTCATCCGACAAACTTGAAATCAACAATTCAAAGAAACTTATGCACTCCTATGTTCATTGCAGCATTATTCACAATAGCCAAGACATGAATGCAACCCAAATTCCCATTGAGTGAGGAGTGAATAAAGATGATGTAGTATATCTATACCATGGAATACTACTTAGCCATAAAAAAGACAAAACTGTCCCAGTTGCAAAAACATGAATGGATCTTGCAAGTATTCTGTTAATAAAGATAAGCCAGACAAAGACACATAACTGTATGGTTTCACTCATATGTGGAAGATAAATACATGAACAAAGAGAACGGATTCGTGGTTACCAGAGGGAAACGAGGTTGGGGGGTAGGCATAAGGGATAAAGGGGCACATACATACGGTGACTGACAAATAATAATGTAACTGACATTTTACAGTGTTGTAAATTTATTTTGACCTCAGCAATACATACATACATACACACACACATACATACATAGATACATACATCTCCAAACCCAAGATCATCTAGATTTTCTCCTATGTTATTTTTTGAAGTTTATTCCTTTGGCATTTTACATTTAGGTGTGTGATATGTTTTGACTTAATTTTTGGGAAAGATCTAAGACTGGTGTGGACCTTCATTTGTGTGTGTGTGTATGTTTGCATGTGGATATCCATTATTTCCACCACTGTTTAAAAGACTTTTTAAATTGTTGTTTAAAAGACTTTTTCATTTGAATTGCCTTTCCTTCCATGTTGAAGATCAGTTGCCTCTATTTGAGTGGGCCTATATGGAAAGGAATTGACTCACATATTCTTCAGCCTTGCTTTACTCACTTAGAAATTCCAGGAATGATTTCTGTTGTGAATTTTTCAGATGTTACACAGACAATCATGTCCTGTGGAACAGATGTTAGAAATTTAGCTACAGATTTTGTGAAGGTGTTCTTTCTCAAGAAGAAGTTCCCCTCTATTATTAGTTTCTTATAAATGGATGTTGGATTTTATCAAATCCTCTTTTATTTTCATTTCCTTCTTCTTTCATTTCTGATGTTAGTATTTATGTATGTATGTGTTTAAAGATTGGTACCTGAGCTTGATGTTACTAATTTCTGTCTTCTGTCTTTATCTTCACTAGAGGCTTATCAATTTTATTAGTCTTGTGAAACAACCAGTTTTTTGGTTTAATTTTCTCCATTGATTTCTGATAGTGACAGTTGATTTCTGTTTTATTATTTCTTTATTGTGCTTGCTTTTGGTTTCATTTGCTTGTCTTTCCATTGTTTCCTAAGATACACACTTACATTATTGATTACAGATCTTTGGTTTTTCCAAGTGTATTTGTTGGAAGATGTAAATTTCCCTCTAGGCACTGCTTTTGCTGCGTCCAAGAACCTTTGGCATGTTGTGTTTTTATTTCATTTGTTTCAAAATAAGATTTTATTTGTCTTGAGACTTCTTCTTTGATCCTATGTATTATGTAGAAGTGTGTTGTTGAATGCCCAGACATTTTGGTGTTTTCCTTCTACGTTGCTGTTATTGACTTCTAGATTGATGGCTATGTTGTGTGAGAGCTTATTTTGTATGATGTCTGTTTGTCAAATTTGTTAATTTGTGCTTTATGTCCCAGAGTGTGGTTTGTGTTGGTTAATGTTCCATGTGAACCTGAGAATAATGTATATTCTTCTACTGTTGCATGAAGTAGTCCCTAGATTGTAATGAAATTCAGTTGTTTCACAAATGCTGTTCAGTTCACCTCTCCTTCCTCATTTCCTGCCTACTGGAATTTATATTTCATGATAAAGGGGTGTTGAATTCAGCTGTAGTACTGGATTCATCTGTTTCTCCTTGCATTCTATCAGTTCTTGCCTCATGTATTTTGCCCCTCTGCTGTTATGCAGGTCCACATGAACGATTGCTGTGCCTTCTTGGTGAATGGACCCCTTTATTAGTATCTAATGCCCCTCTCTGTCTCTGAATTTTCCTTGGATTAAAATCTGCATTGTCTATAATATAAATATTTCAGCTGTCTTCTGATTAGTGTTAGCAGGGTCTATTTTTCTCCATGGCTTTACCCTTCATCTATCTGTGTCTTTAGAATTAAAATGAGTTTCTTGTAGAGAACATGTAATTGTGTTTTTTGAAACCTGATATTACTGTGCCTTTCAATTGTATCAAGACAGTTGATGATTAAAGTTGTGATTGATGCAGTTGGATTAATATTTATCAAAGCTTTTAGTGTTTTCCATTTTTACTTATTTTTTCCCCTCTTTTTCTTCCACCTTTTACCTCCTCTGGCTGATATTGAGCATTTACTTTGGTTCTTTTTTTCTCTTCTCTTAGCATATCATTTACAGATTTTTAAAAAACGTCTTTTAGTGGTTCCCCTTCAGTTTTCAACATACATTTACAACTAACCGACTTGTTCTGCCAGATAACACTATACTACTTCATGCTGTGCAAGTACCGCTTAACACAGTTTCCACTTACCTGTGCCTTGTCACACTAGTGTCATTTATTTCACTTGTACATAAGCTGCTCCTTCCCAAATACCTTGTTGCTAATATTATTTTAAGCAAAGTGACATCTGTCATATAAATTTGGGGAATATATATGACATTTTACCTTCATTCTTTCGTTTTCTGTTCCTCTAGCTTTCTCATTTACATTCTTTCTGATAAATTTTGAACATTTCATTCAAAGTAAGTGTACTCCTGAAAATTTTTCTTAATTTTTGTCTCAGAAAGTCCTTATTTCTCCTTTATTTATGAATTATAATTTTGCTTGACAGAGAATTCTAGGATAGGGTTTTTCTATTTTCAGAATTTTAAATATTTCGCTCTACTCTTTTCCTGCTTGCATGGTGTTTGAAAAGAAGTCCAACTTAATTTATCTTTGTTTTTTATACCTAAGGTGTCTTTCTTCTTTGCTATTTCTCAGTGCATTCTGTGTTTTTGATTTTTCTGCAGTTTGAATGTGATTTCCTTGGGTGTGCACTTTTGTAGTTTATCAAGTTTAGCATTCTCTGAGTTTCCTGGATGTAAAGTTTGCCAGCTAACATTAGTTTTGTGATATTTTGGTTATTATTACTTCACTTACTTTTGTTTCTGTCTTTCTTTTTCTTCAGGTATTCCTATTATGTGTATTTTAAACTTTCTGTTAAAGAGGATTGTCCTAGACTTCATTCCCTCTTTTTTTGTTCGTTTTGGCTTTGCATTAGACTGGTGTAATAGATTTTCTGTTTAGTGTAAGCATTGTTAACAGCAGAATATCTGGGGCATACTTTCAAAATGCCATCTTTTTTTCTCATTCCTAATTATGTAGACATTGGTTGGCCCTATGACCTTAAGGCTCTCATAAACCTGAGAAGACTTTTTCATTTCAAATTTGTTCACATTCTTCTTGTGACATGAAGGTTGACAGCTTCTAAGTTCCTTAAGAGCGGGATGAGAAGTTAGCAAGGCATCATCTAGAGTGTGTGGTCAGGAAACACTTGCTCTTGAAGTTGGAGAATGGAAATTTTATCTTCTTTTGGAGTTAATCCTTCATGTATTTTATAATCATGGCCATATTTACCATGAAACTATTTTGAACTCCTTGCAATCTGTAGCTCTTAACCTACCCTCCAAGGCTAGCAGGCCTCAAGGTACCCTGTTACTGTTTGACCTGAAAGAGCTCTTATGGCATATTGTTATCTCACTATGTGTTCTAAAATTGGTGGGAAGTAGCTTTGAGGCATGTGAATGTAGGGATTTCATGGTCTACTTGTGTCTGAGCTCTAAGTTCCAAATAACATTTTAGCCCCATCAGATTATATAGACAGAGCAAGGAAGAACTGAGTTTATGATCAATATTACACAAGTTAAAAGTAATGCTTCCCCCCAAGAATACTTACATTCAGCCTGCTGCCTCTGATTACTTTTAATGGCCTGGAGTACTTTAGGACAATGTGGCCAGTTGGGCTTTGTTAAGTTTTGATTTCTATAGGCCGCCTCAACGCTCTATTTGGTGATGGGACTAGACAAGAAAGCCCCCCTTCTTCACTATTTTTTTATCCATTGAAGCCTCACACAGATTTGACCCTCTTCCTCAGGGAGTGCTGTGACTGGTGAGTAATAAGGAAGAATATGGAAGAATTATTTATTCTCACAAGGAATTATCAGCCTTAAAAGGATATTACTTTCATTTGTATAGCATTTTGGTCATTTCCCAGTATACTCTGCACCCTGTCATTTGAGAAATACAATATAATGTAATCACAGTAAAAATTCGTAAATAATTTCCATGTGTCCATGATGGTGTTAAATTAATGAGGATGTGTGTACATAAAAAGAGTGTTTTGATGATTGTGACATACAATAAATGTTTCAAGATGACACAGTCATATGTAACCTTCCTACAAATGGAGTGTAGGTCCCCACTGCTGTCTGTCTTATGCTTCCTACTCTACATATATTTGGGATGTTTCAGGACTCAGTGGCTATTGAAGATGTGACTGTGAACTTCACCCCAGAGGAGTGGGCTTTACTGGATCCTTCACAGAAGAAACTCTACAGAGATGTGATGTGGGAAACCTGCAGGAACCTGGCCTCAGTAGGTAAGAATGAGGATATTCCTTCAGTTCATCAATTAGGGAACAAGTGTTTCTTGCCCATTCAAATTGTTCCAAGATGTAGAATGTGGAAATGGGGGATGTTGGTAAATAAACTAGAAATGGTCATGGCTCATCGTGGGATTAGAATATAAAATTTTCTCTGTAATTTTTATTACTTTAGAATCACCTTTCTGGGTCTGCATTTCAGGAAAAACATGGGAAAGTCGTTATATTGAAGATCAGTACAAAAACTGGGGGAGAAAATTAAGGTGAGTCATACTTACAATAGAATATTATCTCACATGAGATTTCTGGTATTATATGAGTTTTGAAAAGGAGCAAACACATAATCCTTGCTTCAAATTTACTTATTCTTTGAAAATTTGCACCAAATACATTTTCTGAAATGTGATGTAGAGGTTAAGTTTTTGCAAGACTTCACTTGGAAATGTATTAATAAAACCTATATATGAATATCACTGGATAATAACAAAGATGATGTTCTCTTGCAGAGCTCTCAGTACATTCTATTTCCAAGCATTCAGACAAGACATTTTCCTATAAATCATGATATAACAAATATCAGATCATTAATGAAGAAATCATTAAAAATGTGCTTCTCCTTTTTTACAGAAGTAATATGGTAATGAGGCTCTGTGAAAGTGAAGAGGGCAGTCAAAGTGGAGAAAACTTCAGCCTTATTCCAAATCTCAATCTGGACAAGAAAATTGCAGGAGGAAAAGCATGTGAATGCAGTTCATGTGGAAAAGGCTTCATGCATCATTCATCCCTTAATAGACATGTTAGATGTCATACTGAACACAAACCATATGATCCTCAAAAACATGGAGAGAAGCCGTATAAATCTAAGAAATGTGAGAAAGCCTTCACTTTTCCCAGTTTTGTTCAAATACATGAAAGAACTCACCACACTCAGGAGAAACTCTGTGAATCTAAAAATTGCAGTAAAGCATTCATTTCTCCCAGTTTGCTTAAAAAATATAAAAGAATTCATACTGGAAAGAAACCCTTTGAATGTAAAATATGTGGTAAAGCCTTCAGATTTCCCAGTGATGTTCGAGTACATGAAAGGACTCATACTGGAGAGAAACCTTATGAATGTAAAATATGTGGTAAAGCCTTCAGTTTTTCCTTTAGTGTTCAAGTACATCAAAGAATTCATACTGGAGAGAAGCCCTATAAATGTAAGGAATGTGGGAAAGCCTTTATAACTCCCACAAGCCTTCGAGCACACATGATCTCTCACACTGGAGATGGACCTTATAAATGTAAGGAATGTGAGAAATCATTCATTTCTCCCAGTATATTTCGAATACATGAAAGAACTCATACTGGAGAGAAACCCTATGAATGTAAAGAATGCAGTAAAGCCTTCAGTTGTACCAGTTCTCTTCGAAAACATGAGAGAACTCATACTGGAGCGAAACCTTATGAATGTAAAATATGTGGTAAAGCCTTCAGTTTTTCCAGTAATTTTCATGTGCATGAAAGAACTCACACTGGAGAGAAACCTTTTGAATGTAAAAAGTGTAATAAAACATTCATTTCTCCCAGCTTACTTCAAAAACATGAAAGAATTCATACTGGAGAGAAACCATTTGAATGTAAAATGTGTGGAAAAGCCTTCAGGTTTTCCAATTCTCTTCAAATACATGAAAGAACTCACACTGGAGAGAAACCCTATGAATGCAAAAAATGCAGTAAAGCCTTCACTTCTTCCAGTTCTCTTCAAAACCATGAAAGAACTCATACTGGAGAGAAACCTTATGAATGTAAGAAATGTAGTAAAGCATTCACTTCTTCCAGTTCTCTTCGAGTACATGAAAGAAATCACACTGGAGAGAAACCCTATGAATGTAAAAAATGCAGTAAAGCATTCACTTCTTCCAGTTCTCTTCAAATACATGAAAGAAGTCACACTGGAGAGAAACCTTATGAATGTAAAGAATGTGGTAAAGCCTTCAGTTGTACCAGTTCTCTTCGAAAACATGAAAGAACTCACACTGGAGTGAAACCCTATGAATGTAAGATATGTGGTAAAGCCTTCAGTTTTTCCAGTAATGTTCATGTACATGAAAGAACTCACACTGTAGAGAAACCTTATGAATGTAAAAAATGCCGTAAAGCATTCACTTCTTCTAATTCTCTTCAAATACATGAAAGAACTCATACTGGAGAGAAACCCTATGAATGTAAGATATGTGGTAAAGCATTCAGATTTTCCAGTAATGTTCAAGTACATGAAAGAACTCACACTGGAGAGAAACCGTATGAATGTAAAGAATGCAGTAAAGCCTTCAGTTGTACTAGTTCTCTTCGAAAGCATGAGAGAACTCATACTGGAGGGAAACTCTATGAATGTAAAAAAAGGCAATAAAGCATGTAGTGTCCCCACTTCACTTCCATGACATGAAAGAAGTCACACTGGAGAGACATGCTGTGAATACCAGTAAAATGGAAATGCCTTTATTTATCATGAAAACTTCCAGGGCTATTCAAGAATGCACACTAGAGGAAAAACCATGTCAATGTAAAGAATGTCAGAAAGACTTTTGTCTTCCAGTTCTTTCTGAAGGCATGAAAGGACTGACTTGATAAAAATTTCTTGAAAGTACACGGCGTGGGAAAGACCTCAATTGGCCTACATGCTTCTATGTTACACTCCCACCAAAAAGAAATATAAATGTAAGTAACAAGAGAAAGCTTCATGGAAATTAACTTGTATATAATGTTCTAGAAAACTTTGAATATGAAAGAGTTCCTGTAAGTTTGTAAATACGTTGTTTACCAAGCATTTTTCTTAAAGTGCAACATTCTAGTGTGGATTTCTCTTAATTAACTTCCTGAAATGAATATTGAGGTGAGATAATTCTGCAAGTCATCCTTCGTCAATACTACATAAGGCTTAATAGGTGGTGCTTTCTTCTTAGATCACCTAGTAATATTTTCTGTTTAATTTTTGTATAATGTTTTAATTGTTCTATGTTCAGAGGCCATTGAAAAATGACAGTTTGGTGTTGTCGGGATTCTTTTACTGGCCTTGTATTACAGATCCTGCATATGCCTGATCCATTGTATGTATTGTGCCTTTTTTAGAGACCAGTCCTTTTTTGGGATGTTAGGTATAGGAACCTATTTTTATTTTCCATACTGTTGATTAGTTGGAATAAATTTTTGTGTGTGGCAGTTTTCAAAGAGTATACTTTCCTTTGAATTCTTTTTGTTTTAAGATTTTAGTTTTCCTTTTTCTCCCCAAAGCCTTCCAGTACATAGTTGTGTATTTTTAGCTCTGGGTCCTTCTAGTGGCATGTGAGATGCTGCCTCAACATGGCCCAGTGAGCGGTGCCCTGTCCATGCCCAGGATCTGAACCAGCGAAACCCCGGGCTGCCAAAGCAGAGCACGCAAACTTAACCACTCGGCCATGGGGCTGGCCCCTCCTTTGAATTCTTATTTTCCCATTTGGGCCTTTGCTCAGTCAGAGTCCTTCCTTCTGATGGTATTTGGTTGAATAGACTTTGAATAAAATGGAGGCCTGTGTTAGGGCAACGAAATGCATAGCTGGACATACCACCCCTCTTTTGTGTTATGTCAATAAGGGTTATATTAAAAACTAGAACTTTAAGAATCCACCCCCTTTATGGTTCCATGTTGGAATTCGCCAGTAGCCTCACTTGCATGAGATTTGGAAGGCAGAAGCAAACAAGGCATTAGGCAGATTTTGGAGCCACCTTACGTGGAGAGAGACAGTCACACAGGAGCTTCAAGGACACTGTCTTCCATCCCATATTCTGGATTCTTTGCCCTTATCAGGAGTATCTTGGAATTCACCACCATTTGGTCTCCATCCTCTTACACATGTGTTTTCCACTGATGTTTTCACAAGTTTCACTTCAAAGATCAATCACAGTCAGGAATTTTTGTAAGGCCTCTTGTGTCCACCAGGAAACTAGTTCAGACATTTGTGGTTGTGAGTATTCTCTGATTCCCCTCTTCTCTAGATTATATCTTTATAAGGTGTAATGTCTACAGGAAACAGCTTTTGCTGTTAACATTGCTAGTGAGTATGCCTCCTGATTCACCATGACATCTGCACTGGGGCAGTAAAAAGAAGGATGTGGGAGTTTGTTTCTCTGCTGCATTGTGATGTGGCTGCCTTGACCCTGTTTTTCCACATGAGGACAGTCATCACCTTCTCATGTCAGGAAACCGTGTGTGTTCTTGTCACTTGTATTTGCCCATAGCCCCTCAGTGTTTTCAGTAATCTTTGTATGTCCTGAAAACTGCATGCATTTCCTTGAGAAATGAACACTTCTGTAGTTGTTTCGTTAATGTACTTTATCAGCTGTTCTCTAATTCCTTATATGTTAATAAATGTTATTGTGGTTTTCATTTCTTCAGAATATATTAAAATTCATTTTAATTATGGATTTTCAGATATGCTTTGCAGTTTTATTTAATTAACTATTATACATTATGGTCCATTTTATCATTTGCATAGTAATTCAGGTTTCTTTCCTCAGGCAAACTATTTTTTATTCTTTTGTAGGTACACTTTTTGTCATGAAATTAACTTCTTCATTCTGAACCCAAAACATAACAAGCATGTTGTTTTCAGTGCCGTCTGGCCAGTGACCTTCAGAATTACAGCTGTAGTCACAGAATGGGGTGCAGTAAGTTGTGATAAGAATGACCACGGACCATAAAGGACTGTGAGGGATAAAAATAACAGGGTGCTCAAAATGACTTCTTACGAGGTTTTGGCATCTATTTGTTGATTTGATTGCTATTCAGGGGAGCCGGTCATTTTCTGTATTGAATGATGTGAGGAAGTTAACTTAGTTCTCTCTTTTGCAAGCGTTTTGCCCTAGTAAAGCATTGTTTTCCTGAAGGCAAAAACAATGCTGTGGAGCTAAAGTTAATTTGTAAGAAATTTCAGTCAGACATATAAATAAGAAGAAATGAATAGTATTCACGTTCATGATTTAGAGTTTTATTTTTTTACCATTTTTAAGTGGTGTGGTTACAGACTACTTTTATTTTTGTCTTGCTAAGTGTATACATTTAACAAAGGAAGTGTTTGCCATATTTCTCTTCAGCAGGATAAGAGTTGGCCTTGCAGTGAATGCAGTCCAGCTCCTAGTCCTCTGGAAGAGCTTTTGCCTTTCCTACTTATTATCAAAACACTGGTGTATTTCCTATGGTGTATTAGACACTGTTTATCATAAATACCTCAGTCAAAATACATAAATACACTTCTTAATAGACTATGTGGTATTTTTAATATCTCCCGTATGACTCAACTGATTCTGTGAGACAATACAAATCCAGCAAGGGAGAGAGGCAAGACCACTATGCCAGTCAAGCCTTTCTTTCTCAGTGATTATGCTCTTAATAATGCTTCAATATCCCTCAGATCCCATGCACTATAAAGTCAGTGTCCCCAGTTCAACAGAAGTCACTCACAGTAGGATTTGGATAGGGCAGCATAAAACAAGTTTTTTGTGGGAAGAGAGGATTAACAAATGGCAAAGCTTTCTCTTATGAGATGGAAATAAGGACTTTGAAGGAATGGACTTTTGAAGGTATGTAAAAAATAACATTGAGCTAATAGACTGAGATGTATACATATCTTTTCTGTGAGGGTAGGAATCTCAGTAAGTGAGGATGTCATTGTTTTCTGAGGATTAAGACTTCCTTTTGAGTTAAGCCACAGATGTTTTTGGTGTCTTTTTGTTTTAATGTCCTTTGAGAGGGTTTTTATTTTACCTTTAAATATTTTAAATGTTACAGTAGTTGGCATTTTCATTTTGCTAATGTAGTGATTGAGTGTGGAATATATACCCCACTAACCTATGGAGTTCCACCCATGTAGAGACGCACTGGTATCTATCTGCACTGTTATGGTTCATACTGAGTGTATTCTATGAGTAGAGTGCTATCTGTAAAAGTCAACTCTGACTTCCCAGTGGAAACACCAGTAAGAGCCATGGGTGTTTAGAGCTAATCATCCAAGTAATTATTGAGGTGAGCTGCAGAGAGGGTGTCATTTTGAGTGATATCCTAATTGAGTATAAAAGAAATGGGAGCAATGTCAGTATCATGGCAGAGCGAGCTGTTCCCATTGCCTTTCTCCCTAGGATACAACCAAAAGGACATTCATTAGCCAACAGATCACACACATACACACAGCACAACAGGACATCTGAGGGCTCTATGCAGCAATACATCTGATGGTGAATCTGCTGCATCCCCAGGAAGCAGCAGAAAGAGATGAGTAGATCTCCCCCTCCCCAGCAACAGTGATCTGCAGCGTGGGACCTTGTGCAGCTGCTGGCGTGACTCGGCGGGGGGGGGGGGGGGGGGGGGGGGGGGGGGGGGGGGGGGGGGGGAGCACGGAGGGGAAGACTGGGAAGTAGGCAGCCCTCACGGGAACATTTTTGCTTTCCGAGTTGCATCCCAGCCCACAGGAATGCTCCACACTTAGGTGGCTAGGCCACCATTTAGGTGCTCCCACCTAGCCCAGCAGCCCAGGTGGGCTGTCAGTGAATGCAGAGCATGTGCATACACATGCATGTGAAAGAAATTAGTCCTCCACTCCTCCCCCCCAGGTGCACCAACTTGGCCAATCAGGGCAGCAGACCCACACCAGAGCTCCTGCATCTGTTTATGGGACTCACCAACCAGCAGGAGCCAGCAAATGTAGATGAGTTGTATTCATCTACATTCAGTGGGTGAGCATAACTTCCAGCAGACATGGCAGGTTCAGATAACACAGCTTCAGGGGCTGGCCCCGTGGCTAAGTGGTTAAGTTTGCATGCTCCGCTGTGGCGGCCCAGGGTTTTGCTGGTTTGGATCCTGGGCGTGGACATGGCGCTGCTCATCAGGCCACGTTTAGGCGGCGTCCTACTTGCCACAACTAGAAGTACCTGACTAAGATATACAACTGTGTGCTGGGCGGATTTGGGGAAGATAAATCAGGAAAAAAAAGAAAACACAGCTTCTGCCCCCTATTCGTGGCAGGCGGAATGTGACCAGACACTACAGCTGTGTGCTGGCAAAAGTCCACTTCATCAAACACCATGAAGAAATACATCAACACTCCAGATCAGAAGGACAATGACAAGACAGAAACCAGTCCTGAAGACACAGAAATTTACAATCTTAATCACAGAGAATTCAAACTAGGTGCAGTGAAACTCAGTGAGTTACAAGAAAACTCCGTTCAGTGAACACAGGAATAAAATTAATAAGCACAAGGAGTTTTTCACAAAAGAGATTTAAATTCTAAAATCAAAATCAAACAGAAATGCTAGAGATGAAGAACACAACAAATAAGATAAAAACCAATCTAGAAACCCTAGAAAAAAGCTGACATTTTGGTGGACAGAATTAGCAAATTAGAGGTCAGAAATATACAAATGCTTCAGATGGAGGAGAGAAAACTAAGCCTAAAATAAAATGAAGAAATTCTCTGAGAAGTGTGACTCGATTAGGAAATACAACATACGGATTATAGGTATTCCAAAGAGAATACAGAGGGAGAAAGGACCAGAGAGCTTGTTCAAAGAAATAATAGCTGAGAACTTTCCAAACCTGGGAATGGAACTGAAAATCTAAGTAAATGATGCTAATAGATGTCCAAATTACATTAATGCAAAAAGACCTTCTCCAAAGCATACATTAATAAAACTAGAAAAAGCCAATGACAAAGAAAAATATTAAGGGCAGCAAGGCAGAAGAGAATAATCTACAAAGGAAACCCTATCAGGCTTTCAGTGGAGTTCTCAGCAGAAACATTACAGTCCAAGAGAGACCAAATTTTCAGCAAAGAATACTCTATCCAGCAAAACCATCATTTATATATGATGGAGAAATAAAAACATTACCAGATAAACAAAAGCTCAGGGAGTTCATTGTGAAAAGACCCCCCCCCCCCCGCGACACACACACAAGAGATGATAATGAATGCCCTCATAACTGAAATGAAAAGGTTTACAAAGCCTTAAACAAGGCAATAAATATACAAAATAAGAAAATTGTAATTCTCTATCAGAACAGGTTACCAAACCTCAATTATAACATTAAAGGTACAGGGAAGGAAAGGACCTAAAGTAACTATAGACACTTGATTTTAATCACAAACTCACAACACGAAATAATTTGTGACAATAATAATTAGATGGGGAAGAGGGAAGG